GGGGGGGGGCTCATCCAAACCTCATTAACCACAAAATGAACCCCCTAAATTGAAACAGGATCCCTCTTTGGGACCTTAAACCTTACCGTAGCTAGCCAACTACTATTTTTTTTGGTTGGCTAATTTTTTGGCTAACTATCTTACCACAAAATCCTGGACCTGTCCATAGCTGCATGCTAGAAGTTATAATCATCTCATTAATTCATAATCATGAAGCTTAATTTTAAAATTACCTTTTCCTCATGAAAGGAATGTTGACACAATTTGCTGCAGCAACGGCAGCAAAAGGAACAAATCGACCAATAATTGGTGGAGCATTCTTAAAGAAAAATAACAAAAGTACATGGCATGTCAATAATAATTTCAGAGACTTGAATAGAGAGTTTCGCACATTGTGGCTGGTAGACTAACCAGTGATTATTATACATTATTCACCTCTCAAAGACTCATGGCTTGGTAAATAGCACGGGTGGCATAGTGGTGTGAGCGCTTGCCTCTCATCAATGCGACCCAAGTTCGAGTCCCGCCGGGTTCAGTGTTGTATATGAGTAGAGTTGTTTGTTGCTTCCCTCCTGTGCTTCGAGGGTTTTCCAGGTTCTCCAGTTTTCCTCCCTCTGCGAAAATTAACTCCTAAATTCCAATTCGATCATGGAATGAGGGCCATAGGTTTGCTAGCCACTGGCTATTAAGTGCTACCCTAGTGAAAAAAGGACCTTTTTTTATATAGTCCCTGATATTCCCTTCGCCAATAATATTGTCCTATAGACAAACAAAAAATGGCTCTGGCTGAAAGGTATGTAAGGGAAGCCTTATTTAATAATTACGATGATGCTGTATAAAAAAGGTTATGGTAAATGGCTTATTTGTATTAATTTATTAGAAGACAGAGAGTGGTAAGATGAGGCATCCATTGCTTTCATGTACTTTTTGTAAGAACATGAGTCCATGTATCAGTCACTCTTCATCCATTCTAGATGTAAAGGGTAGATTTATGGGAGGGGTATGCTGGTGCTGGGGGTGTGCACCCCCTAAATGAGCTGATATCTAACTGCAGTTGAACACCCCTCTCTTAAGAAACCTTAGATCTGCCCTGAATGTAATACCACAGGACCCCATCTTTTAGGTTAATCATGATTGATAAATACTTGACATGTGTGTGTGTGTGCAGTGAATAAATATTATATGCAATGAATTAACTATTGAGAATTATTTAGTCTTACCCTAGTTACATAGTTTAGTCCTAAAGCAACACTTATTGCTCCACTTGTGGCAAGTGTGTAAGCTATTCCAAGTTCCCTGTCAATCAGTAATAAAAAGATAGTTGAAATGATAAATACTTGCTCTACCCAGAGCAAACTCAAATTTGATGTGATAATGGTTATGGTGGCAAAAATACAGTACCTATTAGATATTGGGGAATCTCCACTTCTATTTGTGTAATTCACAATAGCATTAAAAGACTGGTTGATCCATTGCCAAAATAAGACTTGTGGAGTAGTTCTGCAAAATAAAAATAACTTACAATACTGATTTTACAACGAAACGTAACATGCTAAATTCTATCTCTGGGTAATTAGCAGAGGTGGATCCAGGATTTTGTTCAGGAAGGGGTACTGTGCACAAAGTTAACCCAGGGAGGGGTGCACCCCTTAGAATCAAAAGGAAAAACAGTATTGGTTATCTTAGAAGTAGGGGCACAAAGTGGAACCAGGGAGGTGTGCGCACCCACTGCACCCCTCCCCTTGATCCACCCATGTTTAGCATTGCCCCAATTTAAATCAACCGAAAGGTTTTTATGAAAGGTAAAAAAAATAATAATTTGTAGGGTTTGTATGGTGGGGTCTTTCAGGTAGTACTCCCTTGTTATACATGTATCATTGATCAGGTTGTTTATTACTAACTTGTAGAAGGTCATCATACAGCCAGTGATAGTCATATTCATAGGGACTTGAGCAGACATTCTTCCTGGTAAAAACATTTTCTCTCCAGTATCTGGATGAAAAGCTGATTCAAAAATCTTTTTTGCTCTCCATATTTCTTCATCAGTTGTTCCTGCTGGTTCTTCTCCTCGTCTGAGAAACAACACGAAATAAATTGAATATAGTGGGAATTAAAATAATGGCTGGTCAATCACCAGTCATGATGACTGGCCAAATTAGTTTTAACTTTTTCTGTTGCTATTTTAAGCCCAGTACAGTACCTCTATTACAAAGACTTCTACTCTTTACCAAGCAGACAGTTCTGGTGTAAAAACCAATAGAAACGATAGAAACCCTTTTGATATCCACCCAAACTCAATTTTTCGTTTGTGTTGAAGGTCTTGTTTGTCACGTGTGACTGGGAATCGCAGTAAGCCAATGGTCTGTTTCATGTGCATTTCCAAAGGTAAAACACCTTGACAACAAGTACTTACCTATATTTGATAAGTAGTTGTTTCATCCTATCTAGTTCTGACTCAGCATGAAAGAGATTTCGAGGGTCAGTTACGGTGAAGAAATGCTTAGCTCTTCCCCAGTAAGTGCTCTGGTCATAGCGGGGCTTGTCAAGGTTGATGCGACCACCTGGTAGTCTTGCTGACTCCATTGCTTTCTTTAAAATCTTGCTTGTAATTATAGATAATAACTGTGACCAAAAGATAAAATTGAAATTACATCACAGCAGCTATGACAGRAAGCACAGCGATTTTTCTGTAATAAACTGAATTTTCACATGTACACCAGATTTAATAATAATAATAATTACTCCAGCTTCTTTCTGAAGGAAGGCCCGAGTTATAAAACGCTCGTTATTATTTGTCATATTTTCCAATGTTCGTCTACAAAAAGCAGGCATGCGCACTTAACACCTGGGACATCAAACACACATGTGTACTTTGCTTATATCAACTGAGCATGTGACAAATTTATCATGAACAATTTATTGAGAACCAATTATTGTGAACCATTTATTGAGAAAAATCTATCTAGCTATACAAATAGCAAAACAACTTATGAATTTTATCCAAACTTTGACCTTACAAAGGACTCAACTGCTGAATTTCCACATGGCTTTGCTGATAAACAAAGAAAAAGAACTACTCACCACTAACAGCACACGACATGGAATAACACGGAAGTCAAGCGTGAATAATCAACAAGCAGCTGTGAGCGAAAATAGTTGTGAGCGGCTAGGTGTGCCAGACCAAAACTACCCAGAGCCTCCTTAAGTTGATTAAGATGTGTTATTATGCTAATCTATTTCATAATTTGAGTTTAAATAATTACATAATGCCACAAGAGTTACTGTATTGTCTGGGATACCTGTGGTTAATATTATCATGTTGGGATCCCTGTGTGTAAAAGAGAGGACCGCCATTAAAAGCACGTTGCGACAACGTTCTCTGTGTGTTAGTAGTCTTTTAAATCCGGTTCAATCCGAATAGAAATACAACAGTTACCAACAACAGTTGATGATTGTGAAGTAGAGGTAGCTTTAGGTCTACATAATGGTACTTTAGACGGAGTATACCATCTATTGTAAACTACATGACCAGATTTTTGTCTGGGGTGGCTGCGTAGTAATGCAAACGGCAGTTATTCATGCACTTATGCGCCTACTCTCAGTCTTCGCACATTCCACACTAGCAAAGTTTTCTTTCATGAAGCCCGAGTTCACGCAGGTATGCGTCAGTTTTATTATTGTTAAGGCCGCCATCACGTGATGGTGCAGTGAAGCAACACTTCTCTGATCTCGCTCAAATTCATAGCAGTTTTGATACGACTACAGATCTAAACAAAGGAGAAATCGTAATCGGAATATCTTACATAAGCTTATAAATTAGACTTATTAAAAATTTAAAACTTTACGACATCAATAGCTGAAAAGAAATTCTATGGCGAGTGTTTGGAAAATATTTTACATGTAAAAGCTAACATGCTAACGTCATGCTGATATAAAATAGAAGAGGTTTAACCACTTACAGTAAATCACTGTAAGGAGAAATATCCTCTCTTTTTAGATACTAAAGTCTATCTCTGATATTAATATAGTTCGAATCTACAGTACAAGGAACTTAAGAGGACATAACACATGTGGTGGATAGATTCACGTACGCTTATATCTTGCGTTATCTAGCCCAAAAAAGGTAAAGAATAACTGTTCGAAACGTGACAACCCTACCAAATAGCGATAAATCTACAGAGAGACTTACCTTATATATAAATTGAATCGTCAGCAATGAAAACTATAATCTCTTTTATGAACAGAGCCGTAAATATTGAACAAACCCGCTATATCCGACGACCTGTCCGACTCTGTAAACAGCCAAGCTCCCAATCAAGACTGAATTATTAACAGGAACAGGTCAATCTGGTTTATCTCAAAGTAGTAGTGGTGGGGTTCCTGTGCCTTCGACTCCAGTCTCTCCCTGATATCAAAAATCAAAATGGCGGCCTGTTACAGTTATGCATAGATTTGAAATTTGTGCGGATTTTACGGGATTTTGCGCTTCAATTTGGTTGTTAAGAAATCAGTATTGGTGTCATTGTCCTATTTTTTTTATATTCGTTCATATTTAGAGTTTTTAACTCAATGAAGAATCAGTCAGCATGGTATTACGACTGCACCATGTGGAATTCTTATGTAAGAACATACGCTTCAGACTTGGACAATTCTGTGAGCAGTTTGGTTTTAGACCTTTTGCTCAAGCAGTAAACCCAAGAAGGGTGGCAATCAAAAGAAATACAGTATGTTTTGTCTTCACTGAGGACACAACAATAACAAGAGACTCGGTATTTAATGTGACCTTTGAAGTGAAAGATGTGAATGAAATTACGAAACGCGTTTTTTATAGCAATGGTGGAAATGTTTTGGTTTCTCCGACAACGTTAAGTGATTCTCATGGACAAATCCTGTCCTCCGTAATAGAAACCCCGTGTGAAAATGTTTTACATACTTTAATAGACAAGTCAAATTATGATGGACCATTTTTACCAGGGTTTTATGATTTGACTTCTAAGACATTGGAGATTTTACCTGAAAACTGCCGACAATTATCAAAGGATGAAGATCTTGTAACTCACATAGATCATATTGCTTTTGCATGCCACAGAAATAGTTCACTGAAGATAATTGATTGGTATGAAAAATGTTTTGGATTTACAAGATTTGAGCTGAATGACAAAGAGGAAGAAGATGGATTTAAAATAGAAAGTTTTGTGAATGGTTCTTATGTAGGAATGAAGCTTACTGCAATGGAGTACTGGAAGTGTGCAGAAGTAGGAATTGAAGTTAAATCTAATGATCCAAGAGATGGAGTGAAATTTGTGTTGGCCGAAGCCTTACCAGGACAAGGTAGAGTGTTGGCATGATGCATATTTCAATGATGGCATCATTTTACTACCACTACGAGAATAATAATTCAGGTTTGGATAGTCAAGTTCTGATATCTTGCCCTTGGTATCAGATGCTATTTCTTCAGTGCTGCAGCTTCATACCTTTTGTTATCGCAATCGAACCTAAAGCAAGAAGCACTGGATCAATAAAGCCTTTGGAACCCAGGGTACAAATGTTTTAAATATTGGCAGGTGCAGATATAAGGCAGGGTTGTAGGGGGTTTCCACCCCACTAGATGAATTAATATCTACTGCATCATTGGTGCTTGAGTTTGTGAATGTCTTAGTCATAAAGGGTGCAACCCCTCCTAAAAAATCCTGGATCTGCCCCTGATTGGTGCATTTGTCTGGATTAAATAATTATAAAAATGAGTGTCATTGGAACCTTTTTTGCTTATCCCCTAGGATTAAACCAAATTCAAACCTTTCTTGAAGAGCATGGAGGACCTGGAGTACAGCACATAGGCTTACATACGACAGACATAGTCCATGCTGTAGACAGACTGAAAAAAGATGGAGTACAATTTGTAACTCCACCAGATGCCTATTACACTCAGGTAAAGAATATATTCATAATAAATTATGCTATAATAAATATTTAAAAAAAGAAATAGCTACTTCAACCTCCTGTTTTTCTTACATGAATTTTATTTTGCCATCTTTCAACCAACATGGTCATTGCTCCACTTTGAAGATGGTTGTGTAGGTCGAAATCTTGACAAAATAAATGTAAAAGACAGGGGGTTAAAGTAGTAATTTATTGTAAACATGAATTTAAACAACACCTACAAACACCAATTTTTTTTTTTTTAATATTGTTATTAAAAAGACATTACAGGTATGCCTCTCCTATAGAAGTGTAGCTTAAATTTACAGTGCCTCATCATTTTTGAAATTTGTATTTGGTTTATATCATTTTTTCTTACAGCCAGACAAAATCAAAGAGATTCTCAAATCTGGCCTATCAGTGGAGGACCTAAAACATCAGAATATTCTCCTTGATGCTGAAAGTTTTACAATTGAAAATGATAACAAAGCCAAGTAAGTATTTTATTTTTACATTACAAACAAAAATATAACTAGCTAAATGTTAGAGTGCTCACACTTAATCCAGAAACAGTGTTACGATTCATTTCAAATTAATCAGAGTAAAAAATAAAGCAATGCCTATTGCTTGACCAGTGTTATTTAGTATGAATTAGTGCTAAGTATGTATGTAACACTGTTTCACAGATATAGTGTTTTCACTCTATTTGCATCAATAACGACTTTTCTATGATAAAATTTCATCCCAAATATTAAAATGGTTTTCCCATTATTAGACTTTAGGAATTTAGTCCCAGTTCTATTTCCCTTTCTATTTTTGGTAGTCTTTGGTCAGTTTGGCAGAGTGAAGTTGGTGCCTACTCTAATATATCCCAAGGGGCCAGGAGCCCTCAGCCTCCATGACATACGATTTAAGTATCTCCAATTTTTAAACTGTGTTTTCATTGGACCTTTTCATTGATGCATGCTAATTGAGACAACAGTCACAACAAGTAAATCAAGCAATACACTGTTGTCAATCAGAGATAGATATTCATAGAGTACACTTTGCTACACACTGATTGAGACAACAGTCATTATGTCAATTGATAATTGTTTGGTACTGTACAGGCCTGCAAATGATCCCAGGACCGCAAATGATCACGCAATAATATGCGGAATGGTTTGGAGTGGGGGAATCCTATAAATACTTTTACTTATGTATTTTCAACTTAGACTCAAATAGTATTTAGAATAATATGAACTTCATTTTTAATTCTGATTATTACTCTTTCTTTTCTCTATCCTTTTTAAAGTCTTTTTTCGTTTTTTCATTGTCATCATCCCCAGCAAATCCTCTTGAAATTATTAAAACTAAGAGCAAAACAGTCGCAAGTATTCGAACCATGTTGACACTGACAGTTCGTAGCACTGCAAGCATGTCAACAAAGGAAGCCCAAGCAATGCGATTTTTTATCATAGAATTGAAGAGATTTTAAACATGTTAAATGTATACAGATACATAATAATTTATTGCTTCKAAATATATTCACATATATACATCTGGAAAGTTGTGATACAGCTTGCATACAACCCATATTTCATTATTATTATCTTCCCGTTTTTTAAATGAACAAAAGAACTGTAAATGTTTGTCACAATAATTATCCATGTTGAGGATTCCCCCACTCCAAACCATTCCGTATGTTATTGCGCAATCATTTGCGATCCAGTATCAGGATCATTTGCGGTCCGGGATCATTTGCGGTCCTATTCGGGGATCATTTGTGGTCCCGGGATCATTTGCGGTCCTGGGATCATTTGCGGGCCTGTACAGTACCTTTCAAAGTTCCATTCTCATGCTGTTATCTTTTCTTCAAGATACTTAATGCAAGTGTTCACCAAACCATTATTTGATAGAAATACATTCTTCATGGAAATCATTCAGAGATTTGGTGCAACTGGATTTGGTTCAGGAAATATCACAGCTCTCTGGAGAGCACTTGATCAACACCTGAGAAAAAGAATTTAACATAATAATAGAGTGCAAGCAATATCACCGTGAAACTTTAGAATACTAAATAGCACAATTTCATGCAAATTCCATTGTTTTCTATTGAGTTTAATTAGCACTATTTTTTACTATTTAGTAATTAGTGTTTCACGGATTGTTTGCACTCTAATAAACGTATTGCTCTAACAAAATAAGAGATTATTAATATTATTATTTATTTATATGATGGCAACATTTGACTGTCATGTTTAAATATAACTAAGAAAATCCTATTTTTATGTGGCATTTTTATTGTAAAATGCTTTATTGATATTTATAAAATAACTGTTATGACTGTCGCGTTCTGATTGGTTTGGAGCGAGTGCTTTATGAGAGCACAATGCACACGTGCGCACTTTCAGTTGCGTCATTCCTATCTATTATCGTAATTTGTATTTTATAAAAGAAATAAAAAACTTGCTTGCTGTGCTGTGTGCAGTCATAAAGCACTTGGGGATTGTTCTGCCAATCGCTGCGTGCTTTATGACAGCACACAGCACAGGCGCGCGTTTTCTATTTCTTCAGTGCTTTGAGATTTATATTACTAATTACATATTTATATTAAACATGTTTATTTATGCTTTTTTATTTGAAGCAAGTTTTTGCCATCAGCTTTTGCTGATCCAGAGACCAAAATTAAAGTTTTGTGAAAAACTTTAAAGGTTAAAAATTAAAGAGAGTTAGTTACTGACWTGCTTGTCATACCTTCTAGTGATTATCAGTATCAATTATTGTTGATCAAAAGTGTGCTAAAAAATGAATTAATAGGTCTCTTGCATTATAGCATCATTTACTACCAACTACCTAGAAACCCTTGCACATTGTCTTTTGTTCAATTAATTAGCACCAATTATCTTCCTATTCTAATGAGGGAATTCAAATTTGAATAAGAAAGTTTGCCACACATTTGGTAGTGGTAGTAAATGAAGCCATCATGGACATGGCCTAATAAACCTACTTTTAATGGATACCGAAGAAAACAAAAAAAACACCCAGGTTTTGTTAGGGGATAATAGAGGTTACTCCTTTGAATGTAAGGTCATTTGAATGTAAGGTGTCTTTAAAAAAAACAAGAAAATACAGTACAAACACACATGAAACTGACTTAAAATATGAAGTTGGTCTTCCTCACTTCATTCCTTATTCACAGTACACTTCTCAAGTCATTTGCACCATTTATCCTAAAACAAAAATCAGCTATAAAAGTATTTTGTCTTCTCTTGTCAGTTTGTAATATTGTATGTAAGTTTTATTTATATATTATTATTTATTCTATTTATTATTATCCTAATAAGACCCAATTTATACTATTCTTAATGCAAATAGCAGCTGTCTATCTTGGTTAGCTACTACAGTTATTAMASACAGTTTGTATCCTTAAATCTGTTTATTCTTATATTTTTAGATTACAATTGTAATTAAGGTACTAATAATTAAAATTGATTGATATTTTATTTAATCCCTTTTTTCAGCCTTTAACTATAAATTAAACTTATTTTCAAAAAGTTCATATAAAGTTACCCTATAAAATATGTATCTAATTATATTTTACTACTTTCTTTTTATCCTATAAAATATGTATCCAATTATATTTTACTACTTTCTTTTTATCCCGCTCATAGGTCTGTTTTTGTGAAAATGGGCTTAATTCAGCCCCTCAGGCTTTGCTTCAAAGCACATGAATGGGCACCCAGTAGCCTTCTGACCCCACAAGCACAATGCTTGAGAGAAGAGAAAGGGAGAAGGTACTGAAAAATTGACCTCTGCTTGCAAGTTAATATTGTGCATATTTACGATGGTGGATGCATGTATGATGCTAAAAGACCAACTAACTGTAACAATAAAGTTTACTGAATTTGCATTATATTATACTGTCTCTTGACAACTGGAGCTACTGCTATTATTACAGATCTCGCACCAAAGTGTTGTTTCATGTGAGCAGCAATAATCAGGTACTGTTTACTCCAGAACTGGACCGACTTTTATTTCTGTTTATTTCTGTACCCAATCAATGTGCATAGGCACGCAAAGATACATGGGAATGAAATAATCAGGCTCTCATCGGGTAAACATTTCAGGCAGCATAATGCATCGTTTTTTATTTATGTTGTTTATGTAAACATGTTTCAACCTATAAAACCAGGGTTTGGTGGTGAGATCCATATTGCTTGATATTTAAAGAGAGCTCCAAGATACAAATCTATATATTATATTTACAGGTTGAATACACTAAGTTAAAACCTAGTGAGAATTACGTTCTGCAGATCTTGGTCATATGAATATGTATGCTGGGAAATGGTACCATAATAATTTAATGTCTCATTACTTTTTACGGCCATTTTTGTCTATGGGCGGTTAAAGTCCCCTTTTCCCCTACATACTCCATCAATTTAAGTATTTTTGTAACCTTGAATGCATATAGGATGAGTGACTCTTTAAACTAGCAATCTTCCAGTATATCCAAAGATCCAAAATGACTCGGAGCCTGAAGAAAGATGACAGACTGTGAGTTTCGTCATGTTACCAAGGATCCCATAACTTCATATCAGACAAAAGTTCAATAAGGTGATTAGTTCTTGCATTCAAAGAAGCTTCAGGGCAAAGGCTCATGAGTCTCCCAGCCATAATCACCACTTTGTCACCCATGTTACAAATCTCATCTACGTCAGTAATGGAAAGATGATGACTGTTAGCTTGTTTTTTATTAGATTCTTCCTCTACTTTAGATGTTAATGGAATTCTCTTTGGTGAACACTGGAGTTTCTTGTGGTGGGAAAATAAGTAACTCTGAAGAGAGTATGAGAGAACCATGCTCATTTCCTCACAGTCTTCCCGACCTCTGTGCCATTCATGGCATTTCCTTGCCTCTGAGGTCTCTTCTGTAAGATAGTCTCTTTTTGGGGGGAGCCTTTCAAAGTCCACTTGGACAATCTTCTGAATCCCACTGTAATGGGAGATGTTTCGATTTGCTTCTGTATCTTTACAATAAACTTCAAGATACTTCTCAAGGAACTTGCTTCTTAACAAATGGGAATGAATTGACTGTAAAAAGATGGTGCGGCACTCAAGATGTTCAAGTTGATTGTAGGCAAAAAGCAATTCACCAACAAGTTTAGTTGCACAGCTTTCAGGGTCTTCACTGACAGACAAACTTAACTGAATAAGTCTCTGGAAAAGATCAATAGCTTGATATAGATAGTTTTCTTTCTTATGTATGCAGGCATCATGATCAGTGATGGTCTCAAACACCTTGGACTCAGCTGTAGGATCTTTCTTTTTGCAATGTGAGGTAGCCATACATAATTCCTTAATCCACCAGACTACCTGGTTGACATTTCTGCTAGAGATTCTCTGAACAGAAAGTAATCTAAAAGCAATTGTCCTTCTTAGACAAAACTGCTTTCTTACTGCCTCTGATTCCATGATATTGATCAAGAATGCCAAAGCTTTGAAAGCACTAAAAGACCTGATGCAAGGTTGGTCATTAGAATCTTCACTTTTCTTACATCTACATCCTGTTAACTCCATTCTTTCTACGATCATTTCAATTGTCTCCCAGGTGATGCAAGTCTTCTCCATTTGCTCTGGCACAGAAGGGTGTAGTGCTTGAATCCTTTTCAATGCCCAAAAACATTTTGTTGCTAAGGAAATAGAATCAGATTTCAACAGAACTTCACTTAAAAGGTAGAAACATATTTCTGGTGGAGGCTTCCTGTACTTGGACACATAACTTATAAGTGTGTCAATATATTTAGCTACTAAACCTTCCTCTTTGATACCTTCTAACACAATGAGCTGGAATTCTGAAAATGGGAATACTGGTCTTTCAAGCTTGTGAACAGAAACATAACCATTGAAATGACAAGCATGCAGGGGTGGTGTGTGATGAGATGTGTCTTCTATTTTTTCAGAAGGACTTCCCATTGACTTTTTGGGAGAGAAAACTTCCTCTRAGATGAACATTTGTTTTAGAGGTTTCTGAGGTGAACCAAATATACCAACTTTTCTTGGAGATTCAATTGCTTTCTGAAGATTTGACTTCTTTGGTGTTCTACTGGAAAATGTTGGCTTATCTGGAGAATTTTTATATGACAAGGGTGAGTGTGACCAAGGCAAAGAAGGTAAGCTTTCCTCATTTGTAGACTTTGAAGATAGCTGGAGGTGATCTTTATGATCCTCTTTTTCAGTCTCTTGAGAAACTCTGAATGAGCTTGAAGACTGTAAAAGATGGTCCTCTATGTCCGGCATCTGGAGGTGATCTTTAGAATCCTCTTTT